AATATTATATTATATTATATTATATTATATTATATTATATTATATTATATTATATTATATTATATTATAATTATTGCATCGTATTGTATTGCATTGCAATGCACTGTACTGCATTGTATTGCATCATACTGTACTGTATTGTATGTATTATCGTTTGTGTGGCCAAGGTACACGTTATGAGTACAACGGTGCATTAGATGTCTTGCGTGATGCAACTGTTTTCAGTTCCGCCAGGTGAAACACCAGCGTCGCCTTCATCTACAAGTCATCGCAATTACTGTTGCGATGCGTACACTGGTGGACCTAAGAAGAAGCTTGAAGAGCAAGCAAAGGTATTGTCCAGAATCTCCGTATCACCTCGGCTGACCACAACTAAACTCTGTTCAAAGCAAAAATTAGCTCAAAGATCGACACGTATCTGCTTGAACAGGACACGGAGCTAATTCTGACCACGAAAAAAGCGACCAGACAGACTGGTTTTTAGCCTATCCGTCCTCCACGCTCACACACGCCCGAGGATCGCTCTGTGAAACTGTCTTCGTTCCGCTAATCGGTCATGTTAATTTGGGACTTACCTAAACCACACCAAAGCGCGTCCCCCATATCGTCTTTATTTTTTTCAGCAGATTTTACGTGAAACGAACTTCTCCAATAGCTTTGCTGTCCCCCCCCCCTCACATATTCGTCTCCTCATTGAGGGGTCCTACTGTGATATGGGCGTCAAGGAAACTGTTTAAAACAACTGCATTATGGAACCCACATGTTAATTAATAGCACTGGCTGCAGAAAGTGATTCTCCTCACAAGATTGCTTGTGGATGAAACTGAGGAGACTGTGGACGAAGATAAAGACTTGCAGCGAAGCATGTAAGAACTAATCTCAAATGAATGTCACAAGCTCGATGTTACTCATAGTACCAAACTAACTGGAGAGGGGAAACATCGAAGAGGAAACGAAACTCCGGAGACTTAACAAAAGAACACTGACCCACACATTGTAAGGGAAATAGAAACCGACGGATCGAGCCAGTACGTCTGCACAATCAGACGCTACATCGGGTGTATTCATTCATGCAGTGATCAGAGGCAAATCATAGAACATGACACCTGGTAAAAGGAAGAAGGCCTTCGTCGGGGAGTTATTTATTAGAAAATGCCAATTGAACAGTTACAGACTATTGGTCAGGGAAGCAAAACCCTTATATGCATGTGGTTTACAAAAACTGAATATTCATCCTCCCTTTGAACGCGTCTTCCTGAACTTTCCCGGAGATTCATTGACTGTTGCTCAAATCTAAACAAATGCTCCAAAGCGACCCTACAAATTCCGTAATAGACCTAACTTTTTAAGCAACGCAAAGCGGATTTACGAGAAAACATACTACTCGCATGCCTCCCCAATCAGTAGTATCACTGTTACACTGGTAGTGGAGTGCGTGTTGCCGGTTTATCGGTCACGAAAATGAAAAAGTGCATATTGCCGGTTTATCGGTCACGAAAATGAAAAGATACTCCCACTTGAGTGAAAACCGCACTCACCTGATTAGTAGGGCCACGACACCGGCAACAATTGGGGAAGCGACACTTGTGCCCGAAAGCGTGCGGCACTTTCCATCCAATCCGGAGCTGATCACACCGGTGGAAAAGCTTACAACATCTGGTTTCACCTGTCCATAACCGAAGGGTAATGACTAGGGGGGGTAAAAAGAACAGGGTGTTTATTGTACACCGTTTGTGCGGTAGAAAATAGTACCTACATGGTAAACGAACCAGAGAAAATGTGTGCCAATATTCGTTTGGTTCAAAAGTGACTGCGTATGCAGTACAACCACAAACCATATGGTGTAAAATGTGACGATGTAAGACAGAAAACTGGCTGGAAAGAGTACCTGATCACCGAAGAAGACATAAGGCGTTCTGAAAACACATTATTCAATGGGAAATCAATAAGCAACACGGTGACATTGGTCACAGAGGTGGCTATCCAGTTTCCAATCTGCTGAGGTCATAAAAAGATACTCTTCATGAACAGCCGCCCCATGCGATGACCAGAGAGATATAAACAAGACGCGCGGAAAAATCAGGTGGCAGTGATCCACCCAAATGCGCACTGACGATGTCTCTTAGTATGATGATGAAGAGTCCGTAAGCCAATGGCCAAGCTCGACGAACGGATCAACTGCTACCAAACCACGAATGTTTAGACATATTACCGGGCCATCAGTGTACTTTGTCCATCCCGCATGAGAACGTGAATGTAAACACAATAAGAGAATGACAGTTTATCCTTGTAATGTACTCCTCATAAGGTTGCTGAAAATCCGTCGACAGCCCACGACCGGTTTCGCCCTATTTGGGGTTCATCAGGTAGGCGTGGTCTCCGGGTTTCCGTAAGCCTTATGTTCTACTTGAAAACAAATTGCACGAAATTAGCGAATATACACTCATTTGCAAACTAATTTGGTTTTTCGAGAGACTCGTCTGGAACCCAGCTGAATCTTTCGTTTGTGATGTCCTCAGGCAACTGAGTGTGCTGCACCAGGTCGCCTTATGTTTCAGTCGCTACGATATTCGAGTTATCGCGACACATGTATGTTCGTGATGCATATTCAGTTGCCTGAAAACATCACAAACAAGAGATTCAGCTGGGTTCCAGATGAGTCTCTCGAGAAACCAAATTAGTTTGCAAATGAGTGTATATTCGCTAATGACACAGTCTGTTTACTGTCTGGAATGACCAACTGGTCACGTGATCTCCTCAGATTTGGGAAATCAACCATTGCAGCCCGCATATTTTTCCATCAGCGATGAAGGCTGACCAAATGCCGCGAAAAGCTTACCCAGGCAGTCATTCCACGAGATGAGAACTGTGCCATTCGGCCTAGTGCATCCACACCGCCCACGCCCAACACATCCATTTGATCAGCTGGATTGTTGAGAGTGCCAAACACCGGCCCATCGTTACCGATAGCGGATACCAATAGTATTCCGTTGGAAGACAGCTCCCACACCTTTGGGCGAGAAAAACAGAGAGATACAGACGCATTATTCATGGCCAAGGCAAGCAATAATGTTTTCTGGGAACCACTGCGTGACACTTTCCAACTGAGAAAGCACAGCTGCCGTCAATCAGCGTTGTCAGAGGGCGATCAACGGTTAGTTGGACTTCGAATGGGTGGGAGAACCATCTGGCCGAGTTTATAACGCGAGTGTAACGCGATAAGAAACTATTTTGAAGGACAGCAGCAACCCACGCCATCAATCCACTCGCCTCGATTGCGATGAATGCATCGTTACAGGTCAATCATTCAGATCCATCATGGGGACGAACATTGTCGTGAATTTGGCGGTAAGACACGGTACAGTGTTTCTAATATCTCCTTAAGCACTGTACAAAATGAAGCTAAAAAAATGCGCAGTCCACCTAACCACACTCACCTTGTCGACAAATGGCCGGTCTAAAAAGTCCGGGCCGCCTATGCTCAAGTTGATCACATGTAACTTGCGCGATATCGCATAATTGAAAGCGTCCAGGAACCACGAAGTGTAGGAGACTTGTTGATCGGTAAACACACGGAATATGAATAGGTCGGCCCATGGTGCGAGTCCAACAGGTGGACAACCCGAACTTCCTGAAGACCGGGAGATAAACTGATCCAAGAAGGGTGGACTGTTTTGGGCCGCGGCAATGAGACCAGCAACAAAAGTGCCGTGTCCGTGCCCATCCAGTGCTTGCAAATTTGATCGGCGGGTTGGATCTACTGCCTGCGTGCGAAACAGAATAAAAAAGGCTGATCTGATACGGCAACAGGTTGATTAAGTATTGCAAAAGATGAATCATTGCAAGACCCACAGAAATCAAACTCACTAATGTGTTGTAACTGCGACGCATGCTTATCGCGTAACCCGTGAAATATATTATACATACTAAAATACTGTCAAGTGGGTTGTGGACTCGAACCCATAGCCTTTTTGGCTTTATGGAGGTTGTCAAAAGCGTTGTTTGTACAGGGGTTCTCTCAAGCTCCTTCATACTATCGTTATTATTCCAGCAACAACTCTGAAAACACGGCCAAGATGCCTAGAAAAACAATACAATCATCCATAACACATGGATACAACAAAGTCGATTTTGATCGTATCCATAATAGGGTTCATTAACGTGTCATTCAGTTGTAGCACTTTTTCGGTGCCTAGCTGCCATGCCACCTGAAGGAAGCACGATGGCTGGGATACTGCCAGACAGGGGAAGTCGAGAAGCATAGGTCGGGTTCGAAACATGGACCTTCTGGTCAATGAATTCGCGCTCTAACCGCTTGGGCCATCTCGCTCCCCCCCCCCATCGCTATCTAACAAATCCATCAGATGGCGTCACAGTAGAAACGAGTCGGAAAAAGGGAATTTTATGAACGGTATGTAAATCAACTGTTCCAGACTCTAAGTTCTTCGCTTTATTTTAGGCATCGGTTTTCCCTGTTTCACAAACTGAGATATCAGAAGAAACCAAGCGGCCTTATAATGGAACATCAGGCCGAATGGAGCGGTAAACCAACGAGACAAATCGTGCAACGGTAGGCATGAACATTGGGGGTACGAGTACAATCTTTGAAAACTCTACAAATGTGAACTACTACGGGATATTGTAGAGTAATCGATTCGTTCAGCTGTAGCACCCTTTCGGTGCCTAGCTACCATGCCACCCGAAGGAAACACGAGGGCTGGGATACTGCCAGGTTGCCCAAGACTAAACAGGGGAAGCCGAGAGGAAGAGGTCGGGTTCGAAACACGGACCTTCCGGTCAGCAAATTAGCGCTCTAACCACTTGGCTGATCGATTCACAATCGAAAGAAAGGCTGTCAAGCGTAAAATACACAAGTGGTAAAAGGGACCAACGACACTCACCCGTAGCATGTCACCAGATTCTGACTTGGTCCAATCTGTCCGTTCCAACACTCGTGTTGCATGGAAGTGGGGATGTTGGGTTGTGTCCACCAAGCCCGTGTCAAAGATCCCCACACGGACATCCGCACCGCACACACCTCTGGCCCACAGCCTTTCCACTTGTAGCAAGCGCCAAGGCTTATAGCCGGAAGATAAATATCAGCAACAGTGAGTAGAGAAGATGAATGGAAGAAATCGAAGAAGAGTTAGGGTGCTTAACGCACAATTCAACGTAATGGGCAAATCGCACCGAGCGCATGAGTCAGGTAGGTATCAGTCCCTGTGGCACAGCCACGAATTGCTTCAATGTGATAAGAACGAACTTGACTAAAGACATCCACACTTAATGAGTGGAGGATGGGTATTGTGGAATTCCATGCTGACGATGGCGTACCCTTCGAAGCAAAGGACTGCGAGATCAAACAATCAGTTTGGTGTGCTGTAGCTTTCTGGGGAGAAACTGAACACAGAAGTAAATTAAACTGTCCTGCAGTTTATGGCCGTTTCACGAAGCACCGACGACCAGGAAAGCCCTTTATCAGACTGCGTTTGGAAATATAAATGTTCGATAGCCAACCTGGAATCATATTGAGTTCTTCTGGGTGCCTCACCCGTATCAACATACCACGACATACTAATAGTGAAACGAAGAAGACCTTTGCTACGGAGTTGTTTATTGGAAACCCCCAACTGAACAGTTACAGACTATTGGACAAAGAAGCAAAACTCTCATATGCATCTTGTTTACAAAACCTGAACATCCATCTTCTCCTTGAACGCGTCTTCCTGAACTTTCCTGGATATTCATTGACTGCTACTCAAATGCAAGCGAATGCTACAAAGCGACTCTACAAATTTCGTAACAGATCTCATTTTTCAAGAGACGCGAAGCGGATTTACAAGAAGATATACTACTCGCATGCCTCATCAGTAGTATCCACCGCTACAACAGTATTAATGGAGTAAACCAACATCCCACATAAAGCGGAATGAATAAAATCCAAGGTTAAGTACAATTTTGATGCCAGAAAAGTGACCTAACGACAAAATGAAGTAGACAGAGAGAATTATCAATGACTATTGGGCAGCAACGTGTACGAGGATTAAGACAGAGCATCGAAAGATCATAGTATCAAAAGAACTTCTCTAGAGATTCTATTCACGCCAGGTCTTCGTGCTTCCAAACACGAAGTGAGAGACGGCTCAACCAGTGCAGTTATTGGAATCTACCGATCTGCCAAGAGCTGATTGTTGCAGATGCTCTAAACTAGGCGGGTCCCTTAGAGGATGCTCCCAGGAGGACTAGCGGATTCATCTCAAGAAGCAAGATTTTGTCCAAGATTGTTCCCAGTCGAACATTCCAGTCGAATTTCAATACAGTGCACATCGTACCCAGTCTCTCAGTAACCTCGGAATGACCGACGAGCTGTGGAGTTTGAATTCGGCCAACCACCTTGACAAACTGAATCCAGTAAACAGAAAGCCGAATACACCACTGATGTTTTTTTTCATTCCGAGTGTAAAATTTGCATAAAGTCACAACAGCGTATTTCGTTAACTTTCAACCTCAGACGTGTGGCATGCCTACGCAAGGCTGTGTCTTTTAAACGTGTTTATTTGGTGGCCACCTACACGTTACCGGAGGCTTAGCCCCTACCGACGCCGCTTTTTGTTCGCCTTGATCAGAAGCCATAGGCGGAAAGTCCTCTATAATAAGCAGGGGCATCGTCATTACGCCGAAGGGAACTGATAGTCACATTCTGGAATAGTGTTCGTGGTGTGACGGGTAGGACATAAACGGATGTTAGAATTCAACCACGCTAGGTATTCGTCCGCTTTCAGTCCTCCGTTAACCGCTCAAAATGGGTTCCAGACTGAAAAGTTTGACAAGTCCACTCACACCCTGCCTACTGTAAGGAAGGCACGATCCCTGAAAATAATCACAGAATGCCTGAAACCTACTGAGACCGTCAAAATCGCAGTAGGAAAGCCATCAAGCAGCTGAGCCAGCTATCAATTGGACGCCCAACCAGCCGATCCAATCAGTGTTCCCCAAGGCCGATCGGATAGTCTGGATTTAAGGACAAAAGTGTGCTTTCAATACTGTGATGACCCTTGCAATACTTACACTCGCAACAAAGCTGTTGTCTTTTCCTGGCATGAAGGCACTGAAGGAGCGAATACAGCAGTTCGATACAAAACTTACTTGCTTGGTTTCATGCAGTGGTATGGTGCCGGGAACAGGAGGTTTCCATTGTTTTCCAAACTGGAGGATAGAAACAAAACGCAGCCATTAGTGAAGACCAAAAAATTCTTCATTCTCAGGCTACAGTGGGACTCAACTCCATCGACTAGTCGAGAGGTACAAAATCATTCATACATCACTCCAAAAATTTCGGAATTTTCTTCATCCAAAACTACCGTTGAGTATATGTTCACCGCTTTGAGACGCAAAATCTTGTGGCACCCTTTCGGTGCCTAACTGCCATACCACCCGAAGGTTGCACGAGGGCTGGGATACTGCCAAGTTGCCCAAGCCTAGACAGGGGAAGTCGAGAGGCAGAGGTTGGGTTCGAACCACGGACATTCCAGTCAGTAAATTCGCGCTTTAACCACTTGGGCCATCTCGCAATGATGCAAGAGGTTCGAGAAACAAATCAGCGCGCGAAGGGTGATAACCAGGAGGTTGATGTCAAAATCAGAAGGAAAGGATCCCACAAAAAAATTGCAAGAAGCGATAGACTATCTCTCACAAGCCAGTATTATCTATTGAATTGGGTGGCGAGATGGATCAAGTGGCTAGAGTGCGACATTACTGATCAGAAGGTCCGTGGTTCGAACCCCATCTCCGCTTCTCGACTTTCCCTGTCTAGGCTTGGGCAACCTGACAACACCCAAGCCCTCGTGTATCCTTCGGGTGGCATGGCAGCTGTGTTACAGCTGAACGATTTATTAGTTTTTCATCTACTGAATTTTCCATCTAGAGAGTTATCCTCAATTTAGACCGTGGGGCAGTTTTTGAGGCAAATTATGATTAAATCCTTTTTGAGGGGGGAAGTCATCGCCTCCACTTACGTGAAATGTAACCAAACGTTTGGTTTTCACCAATTTTGTCTGCTATAAACTCTAGGAACTGGTCATCATGAGAAAGTACCAAACGTTGCTAGTACTCATCACTTTCCGGCACCCTTCTTATTAGGGTTGAATCAATCAAGAAGGGTGATTGGATATCTTGAATGTCATTCCAACTGGAATACGACGTAGTCATTGTACAGTCTATCGTAAACGAGAGATTTAGCTGTCATTCAGCTGAGTCACTCGTTAAGCTTGAGATGGCTCACTGGTTAGTGCGTGAAATTATCGACCGGGAGGTCCGCCGTTCAAACCCGACCTCTGTATCTCGACTGCTCCTGTTCAGGCTTGGGCAACCTGGCAGTATCTCGGCACTGGTACTTACTTCGGGTGGTATGGCAGCTAAGTACTGAAAGCGTGCCACAGTTGAACCGTCATATTTTATATTTTGTCGGTCTAGATTCACGTGACTGGCTGAAAAAATCAGTGCCGTTTGATAACTTATTATGGATGTTCAAAAGCAGGTATGAAAGTCAAAACAAGGAGCATCAGTTCAAGTTGGTCAACCGTAACCGAACATCAACTCAGCACAACAGATACTCGATGACGGAATCTTGCAAACACTGAGGTCCTCTTCTCGCACATAACCCGTATATCAAGCCAAATTGATGATTGGACGACGCAGAAAGATTTACAATATTGTCACTTTTCAGAAGAGATCAGTTTAGATTGGCCATTTCAAATGGCCAAATGCGGAAAAATAACACAGCGCACACGAGCACCACTTTAGTTTATTACAAACAAACAAAAAATGGCATTCCAAATACGCTCAAATAACAAAGTTAGCCAATAAACAGAGTTCCGTTGTTCATATTTGGAGATACCATTCGATTAGATCTTCAACTGCGAATTCCTCCCACAGAAGACCGCTTTTTCTACTCGGTCTTCCCACAGAGAAAATAACTGCACGAATTATGCTTCCGTTTACGACTAGCAACTCAGTAGCTCATCACGCGACACATCCATTCTTAGTGAAGGGGAATACCGGGTGATTATCTAATCCTACCCCTAGAAAGTCCCAAAGGGCCGTCATTTGGTGCGCAAGACCTTGGTGAAAGTCAACCCTCCAAAAGAGTCTAAACAGTTCGCTGGTTACAAGCGAGTGAGTGCATGTTCTCGTACAGAGCGTGATAATTTCACAGCGACTAGAAGACATATGAAAGATGTATGCGGGATACATAAACTAAAACGGAATGAGCGGCTACCGGACAGCCACAGAGTGATAAAAAATAAATTGTTGAACACACTCACCAGTTTGGGGGTCCGTCGTTCTGAAGCCTCAGCTGAAAAGGAAAAACGATGAAGAGACGAATGAACTAGAACTCAACGATTCTTATCTATAACGCCTTAGTCACACTGAAATCCCGACTAGAAGAAAAATTCGCCCGCAACCCTTAGAAATAACTAGCTCCGGTATGATAGTTGGTAGCAGTGGGAAACAAAGTAGAAAACGCTAACCGTGGCGTCACCTGGACTCAGCAATCAGCCATAGCACCCCTTCGATGCCTAGCTGCCATGTCACCAGAAGGAAGCATCAGTACCGAGATACTGCTAGGTTTTCCAAGCCTAGACAGGAAGTTGGGTTCGAACCATGGACACACCGGTCAGTAAGTTCTCGCCTTAACCACTGGGCTACCTGGAGCTCACCATATCAGCATGAACCGATTACATTCCAAGTGGACACGTTTATTGATCCACAGAATGTAGCTGTTCAGGGAGGATCATGTGAGCAGTTAAAGCAGCCAATTCCTAGAAGACTATGAGAACATAGTCAGAATCACAGACTCAGTAGCTTTAATTCGAACATGCACAGAGCACAGTGCAGGTGTTGCTGCGGTATCTGGTCATTGGAACAAAACAAGGCTTCAGTGCGTAACAGTATAGAAGAGTGTTTGAAGTCAAAATCCATGGTGTTAAAAGACAAGGATAGACAAGAAAACGCTATCAGCTTTTCGATTGCATCATAGTAGTGGAGATCAGTGGCAGTTTGGAGAGCTTTTTGATCACGACCAGACAAACAGCAGCCGCTTAATTCCCCTACGGAACGAGATGGACCAAGTGATTTGGGCGCGATTTTACTGACCAGAAGGACTGTGGTTCGAACCCGACCTCTACTTCTCGACTTCCCCTGTCTAGGCTTGAGCAGCCCGGCAGTATCCCAGCCCTCGTGCTTTCTTCTGGCGGCACGGCAGTTGAGCACTGAAAGGGTGCTACAGCTGAACGATTTTTTTAGTTCTCGCGCATTCAGGCAGAAATCGCCTGGGAAAATTGGTCATCATCATCGTCATTGTCAGTTGTAATAACCGCGTACTTGTCGTAAGCTGCTTGTAGCTGACACAGTTTCGTTCACCGATGATTCGAGTAGGTAGCTGGGCACTGGATGCATGAGCGCAATTGAGGGCGCATATGTGACAATGTCTCTAACCGTTGATATGGCCCGTCTCGGGGTCCCCATCAAAAAAGACGGCAATGACTACGGGGACTGATACCGCTGCCCGGGTAAACAAATTTGTCTACCACCTCAAACGGTTCATCCGCAAGCATGAGGCTAGAGTTCGAGTCCACCCAGTCTTGCAGTAGCACTTTACACTTTGCAGATGTGAAGCGCATGCCGAACCGTGAGGCAGAGTTATTTAGATTTTTTAATATTGCTTGCATTATCACGGGGTCAGAACCAAGAAGAGCTATGTCGTCTGCGTACTCGATATCTGTGAGCGGACGCTGAGGGAGCACTTGGACCCCATATGCATTAGAGGCTGGTAGTGGGTTTTCCACGAGCGTGTCAATGACGAAGTTGAAGAGGAAGGGTGAAAGAGGATAGCCCTTTCGGACATCACTTGATGCGGTGAACTCAGGCGAGAGCTTCCCGTAGGCCTTCACACGGCCGCAGCAGTTGGCGTAAAAATATGTCCCTGGAGCAGTGATCGACGGTCATTTCTGAGCATATCGAAAATAGGACATGCCAACATCATCCCTTAACAGAGCTCCCGCTCTCTTCGGATCCAGAAGATCCTTCATTCAACGCCATTCGGGTGAACACAGAAATTCGCAAATGAAATTACTCACTAGGCTTAGGTAGTACAGCATTGTACATCGTTTATCGTTCGTCGGAGATGTTGGTAATAACTGCTACGTTTGCTGCAGAATACACCACAATTATTGCTGCGGTTTCAATCAACACTTGGTGACCCACCCTAACACACAAAATCCCTCGGCCGATAGCAAACAGAGATGAGGACTGACTTCCGCTTTAAATCTCGACCAACCTCGTAACCTAGTCGCTTGGTCTGACGAAACTTTTGTGTCCAAAGCGAAACGTTGCCCCGCAATAAATCCACCGACTGTCACAATTTTTTCCCAAAACTGAATTTGACGTCTTATGTGCTCGAAACACCCGTTTCTGAATGCGTATTAGTATGTGACTGATTGCATTTACTCGAAAAAATCGCTGTTGTTCCCGCCAAGCTAGTATATAGTGGAGACCAATCACCGGTCAGAAGTGAAAATCCCTCTGCAATTTACTTCAAGTGTTGGGCACTTGGTGCTTCTTAAAAATATGTGACCGGGAAAGAACTGTCACGGGTGTGCGCATTGAGCTGTATGCATCAATGCCATCCGTGCAACAGATCCAAGATGTGGCGCTCTAATTCAGGGATGTCATTCAGCTTCCAGTACGTTGCCCGTTCAATCCTCAGTTTTGATACAGCCCTTGTTCAGACAACATGGACACTGCGGTGTGCATCGAAGAACTGCTCCGATCAACAGAAAAAGCTCATTTTTTGCAGAAAACCTGGGAGTTATGGCCCTAGCGTGGACAGGTCAGTCTAAAGAAAGGACTTACCACTTCCTTCATGCTGAAGAAGGAACCGCTGAATCCGCTTCTGTTGATATGCTCCTTTGATGAATGGATGTCTCTGGAGTGATGCGACGAAGGATGACGAATCGCGCTCAGTGAGGTTGCGCACCTGAACGGCAGGAAAAATGCATAAGTCATGAGTAATCAACTATTCCACTGGCCCCAGTCGTCTTGTGGATTCCACAGAACATCTGCAATCACCTTCTCTGCGCAGATAACTAACAGTGAAACTTTGGGAGCATGGCGCCTCTAACAGTGAGTAAGCTGTAGATACCTGCGAAGTCTATGCCCTCGTTGGTCAAGTCTAACTACACTGATTGAACGACGTCCCGTCCTTTTTGTGAGTTAGTGCAAGCCAGCTATCTACTTCAAGTCGTAACTCTCTCTCCAATAGGAAATCAAAACAAGTGACGCTGTACTGGTTTAAAAAAGTGGCTGGTTTGACTCCGATACCGCTACCAACAAAGCACCAATCCCCTGCTCTATTTTGGCTCACTACAACTACGGTGGTCCAACGAAATTGGGGGAACAGCTACAAGTTGGAAAAATCCTCGTATAATCCACATATAGCGCAGTACGTTCTCACAGGACTTCCTCCAAGTACACGACGTTTGTCACACCAACTCACTTATGGCTAGCGAAAATCCCAGGACGGTACACGAGAACTTTGGCTCCTGAATCGTCCCCACGAGAGAAAGCACTATGGTGAGAACGCGTTTTACCGGCTGACTGTCAGCAGAAACAGCAGATGGGAGTGGCATAGTTCGGCCGTTAGCCTTCGAAACCAGTGAAGGCTTCTGGATTTTGTACTTTCGTTGGCTTGGTCGACCGTTTAGCAAGGTGCCACTTTAAAATAGATTACAGAGCTGCAATTTGCACAGCAGGAGCCGAACCTAGATGGAGCAACGGACCACAAACCATTGTTGGTCGAGTTTCAGATGGGGATGACTGTTCTACTGTAGTCCTAGAATACATCTAACGAAATTCAACTAGGTTGTCTTGTGGTTCTCATTTGTGGCCGGTCAGATGGCCCCGTAAAACAGATGGTGATACTGTCGACACACATAGTTCGGGGCAATATAAAATACTCACCCTGTTTTTCACTTAGATGTAATATACTACTTGGAGGTTACTGAAAACACTTCTATGAGTTTTATCAACCTTGTGAGCAGTATATTATGTCTACAAAATGTAATGGTATGCAGAGGGATGTATTAGTCGGAAAAAATTGGGTAGGAGTTAACCTGTTAACCTTTGATTTTCCAGAATTCCATGTCGTCACAGAAAATATTGTGAACATCGTGCCCTTGACTGACTGCTGATTGACAGATCCAAAAAGTACACCGAAACTGAGCAGAGGAGTTGGGTTTCGTTCAACACAGTCCCGTAAAAGCTCAGTACCAGAAACAAACTTATACTGGATGATCCAGTGCCTAGCTGCCATGCCACCAGAAGGAAGCACGGGGGCTGGGATACGGCCAGGTTGACCAAGACTACACAGGGGCAGACGAGAGGAAGAGGTCGGGTTCGAAACACGGACCTTCCGGTCAGTAAATTCGCGATCTAACCACCTGAGCCATCAAGAGTTAACATGCAACCCATATAAAGCGAAAAGATGCGGAGTCTCCATCCAAACAGAGCAGTGAATGACAAGTACACTCAACAGAAATAAATAGCTTCGTACGAAATTCACTGTAATCAAGACTGTTGGGAATCTGCATCAAACTGGAAAATTCCACCGTATCTTGCATTCCGCAAGTAAAGTTTCCTCAGCCAAACCTAGAAGGTAGTTTGTACTTGCCAGCCGTAGCGATAAGATACTTCCATAATACATTCTGGTACTCTAAAACGTGTGTCCCAATGAAAAGGGGAAGTACTCGAATCAAAAGAGGCGTAACAAAAATTAGGGTGCATTGAAACACACATATGACAACTTACAATAATCACATCAAAGTCGCTGGAAACTGCAATCGGAATCGAGTTCCACCGTGGAAGAATCGAGTAGTTGAGATAAAAGTGGTCTAAGATGGAGCACAGTCGACTGGTGCGTTGCCGATAAAATGTTCGTGTGTGATAAGAAACGATGAATTCTGTAAGGAAATAAGAGAGAGATGGTGGTGCAAATGCAACATCTGAGTGGAACACAAGTGCTTCATTGAACACCAGACGACTGAATTGTTGTCATTTTAATGCATGAGGATCCGGTGGATAATAGCTGTCGAAAATGACTATTGCCGGTAGATTTGAAACATGCGTGATGGAAAATTTTGGCTTCGAGCATCGGTACGCTGTTTCAACTAGCCAATGGCTAAGCCACTGACATTCCATTTGGTCACACCACCAGAACAGCTATGGTGCTGTGACCCAAAGCGATAGGTGATATTGCCAGATGACACTAAAGCGCAATTGCTCGGAAAGTAACAGGTTGAGTCAAAACGCATACCTTACCGATATGCGGATCGCTGAGTAACCTCTGAGTCCCCTACTTGAAGCCGAAAACGCACGGTAAAATAGCGTCTCTCTAAACCACTCTAAACACCTCGTGCAGGCCAGACCCTGCCGTACTACAATTAAACATTTATTATGTCCTATTGAAAAAAGTTCAAAAAGTCGGAACCCAGCAACAAGAAGTGAAACAAATCACCAGATGGTCCAGAAAATAAACAAAACAAACAACAAATAAATAAATAGACATCCAACTCAGTTCCGTCGTAGTTTGAAGGGATGCGGAATTTCGCAACAAATACCAAATCGAGTGGCATTTGCCGGAAAACATTTCACTTTTCCTTGAAGGAACACTACTCATAAGGTTGCTGAAAACTTTTTGCAAGACCACGACCAGTTTCGCCCTTCTTAAAGCTCACAAGGTAGGCGCAGTCCATGAGATTCCGCTGCGCAAATGACTGTATTTTGTGAACATCACCTATTTCGTTATTGTTCCTAGAGTGACCGAATGGTGAACCGAATAACGACGATTCTATGCTGTTACCCTTATCAATAAATAGGTATCAACCTCAAAACTGGGTGTTATTGACATTTTCAAGGTTTCTGATCGGATTGGCTTTCGTGGCCAAAACCTTAACACTCGGATTGTAGTTACATCTCATCACTTAAGTTGGCAGTTACATAGGTAAGAGGCCAGTGGACGAGGCAAGATGGCTCAGTGGCTAGAGCGCGAATTTACTGATCAGAAGGTCCATGGTTCGAACCCGACCTCTGCTTCTCGACTTACTCAGTCTAAGCTTGGGCAACCTGGCAGTATTCCAGCCCTCGTGTTTCTTTCTAACAGCGCGGCAGCTAGGCACCGAAAAGTGCTACCGCTGGACAATTTATTTTAAACAACTCCTCCTACCTCGGTAGAGATGTACTGTCGACGACTCGAGTTTCCCCAGGCTTTCTGCGCCACACCACACTAAACCGATTATCTACTAACTAAGGACAAGATCCTGAAACCAGACAGCGTCCCGCCAAGACGACACTGAGAAGAGTATGAAGTGAACGGAAGTGAATAGAATGAGCCCCAAATCGAAGAACAAGGGTGCATCCTTCTTTCAGATCATCAAACACTGATTCTTTGCCCTTCTCAGATGTATTCAACGTTCATTTTTTACAGCGTCCCTTTAAGTTGACCACACAGGACAAAGCTGATCGTCTCACTGACGTCCCGCCACTAACTGAACTTACCTTGCTTTCTTTATAGTTACTTACCCCGACAGTGCCCTTCAAACATGGCTATATTGTCGCCAATGCCATCCGCTTTAGGCGCCATACCCATCGTTCCAAGACCAGATGCAGTTTTATAATAGTGAGACCCAACCCCCTACCTGTCACTCCTCCTGATAATGAAAAAAATCTCTTAGCTGTAACACCCGTTCGGTGCCTGGCTGTTGTGCCACCCAAAGGAAGCACGAGGGCTGGGATACTGTCAGGTTGCCCATACCTAGACAGAGAAAGTCGAGAGGCAGAGGTCGGGTTCAAACCAAGGGCATTCCGGTCAGTAAATTCGCGCTCTAAACACTTGTACCGTCTCCCCCTCCTGCGAATGATCAGACTAGCAAACGTTCTCTTACTGTCACTAGCCCTGTCTCGCTTTTCTCACACCGTGAATAAGACGAGCCCATCTCTTGACTTTCGAGTCATATAGGTTTTGTAGAGGGGTTCTGTCTTCAGGATATAATCTTTATTCAAATCCGAGAATCGGGCGCAAAGTCAGAAGCACTTGGGCTGTTTTCTAACAAAACTGCAAAGCTTCAGCCTATTAAGCCTCGTAGCAGCGCTCACATATTTTTTCCCAGCAAGAGGCGCTTAAGCACCCGAAAATGATTTCAAAGACTGAGACATTTGCCGACCGTCGGAGCCTGTATAAAGGCGGACTGGAACCAAGGATCATCAGAACAGAGGCCTCTACCCTACCCACTCCAGTACCACAATTTCCATCTACCGTACCGGTGAAGTGCATTGAACTGGACGCGCAAACCTAAATATGACAGGAAAACACTGGAACAAATTCAATCCAGGATAGACAAAACATGCTCCAGCATGATTACATTGAGTAGGAACGAACTCCTCCCACCAGTCCCACGTTGAATGTATCGAGTAACCGACTGTTTATAGTGCAATAAGTCCACTGGTGTGACTTTCCACTCCTGAAGAACGCATGAACGATCGACTATCTATCAGAGGCACTCCAAAACGAGACAATCATAGATGGGTCCGTACGTTTAAGTTTTGGTAGTCTCTAAGTGGAATGGACATAAAGCAAATTCAAAAAACTGAAAAGGGATGTAGGTCAAATACATCACGTAAACTAATCGTCATGTAGGGCCCGAATAGATGTACAAAAGTGGCAACCGCATGTAAACACTCTGGCAGAACAAAAACACGCGCAATTGGCCAACAAGATAGGCCAACTCACCAGCTGGAACGGAATTCACGGAATATTCATACGTGGGATCCGATAGAACAATATTACAGTAGAAGCACAGGGAAACCACCATTAGCATACGGAGTAGGGATCCTGTGTGTACGGCTGATCCGGACATTGGGAACAACTGCGACGGCCATGCGACAGTTCCCAGTGAATTTGAATAACACGTGAAGCTTTAGAACGAACTTTGAATCGGATCTCTAGCCGCACTAAAACGAATTTATAATAAGACGATGTAATGATGCAAAACAACATTAGATTAATTCACATTGGCTAAAATCCATAAGCCATTTACCGAGGTCAACTGCTATGGTTTCATTCACCTAAAAGAGGAATGACGGGAGGGTGACAATGTATCGGAAGACATGAGTTATACTCAAGATGGGAGGTTCGACAGCCGCGAAACTAGGTCGATAGTTTAATTGCAAGATTGTCACCAAATGCGTGACTAGGTCATGTCCGTCACTGTCACACCTCAGGGTTTCATCCGGTAGACCGAGTTGGTAACGTAAATTTACTGAGAAGTCAGCACATCCTTTAGTAGACTTTTATTACACAAAAGTGGATCAGAAAAGAAGCAAAGCCCAGGGTCAGGTATTGATCGGCATTTCCGTCACAGCTTGTGGAAACTTTTGGTAGTCGAAATGAACCCAACCGGTTGTTGGAGCTTTGAGACCTGTGTCCCGTCAGGATCGCGGGTCGCTTCGTGTAAGCTTAATCTCTTACGATCCGTTACTCGAAACAAACCGGGCAAAAGGCGACCGTTATGTAGTCGGAACTGCCCAATATCTGTGGCCTGTTCACCCCAAAAAAAACTACCATTCCGCAGACTTCTGGATGACTGTAATCAGATGGTCTTTCGTATCACCTCATGATCCGGACCAGCGTGACTATGCAACCGGAAGTCTACGAGATGGCTTGTTGTTAGTTGCCAGATATTATGAATGCAGAGGGTTTGTTTGCGTAGCGGTGACAACTGAAGGTTAACCACGGAGGCAAGGCACCTGATGCCCAAATAAAACCATAACGGCAACCTTCGGCGCCCAGCCTCCCTACGCGCTCACCGATACCCGGGAAAGCCGAGTTCGAATAGCGCTTGTACTAGGTTCTGAAGTGACCAAGGACAGCACTCGTTATATTCTTTTCTCGGTAGCTGACCTTTGGGAAAATGCAACTCCAACCCGAGTCACACATGAATCCCGTAAATTTTGTAAACCTTCGGTGAATGTACGCTGCTTGTGGTAAGAATCCTGACATGCGTCAACAACCCACGACCCGGAAATACCACCTTGACGTTGTGGTCAGGCTAGAGTGCTGCAATGGTCCTGAGGGATACACCGACTGAAACTTCACAAGCCATGCCAAGAATTCCCGGAAGTGAGCAGGTATACCAAGGGCTGTGGGACTCTGTATTAAGAATGGTTGTATTGGGAGACCGTTTTGAAGCTCGTCGTACTGTCATCTGAGATGGGAGTATGAGGGCAGTAAAGTGCTCCCCCAGGCAACCAGCATGTTTATGCCTTCCTATGAGGAAGGATGCAGCAAAAAAAGGTCGGCCCTAAAAACCGCTCACTCCCATCGTAACCAACGGTGCATTATTCCACACGGTCGAAATACTTGCAAAAACCAGAGTCCGGTGCTACTCAAAAGGCACCCGCTGTGCGCAACCACTTCGCCTTACTCCCTGTGTCCTCGGGTTAGACCAGTCCCCTGCAGCCAAGAAGGTCAGAATGCTGAGTCATCGGCTTCGGGCATGGTCACCAAAGAAAATCCTACTGTCCGCCGCCTCGTTGGTCAGAACTGAGTTGCAAATAAGAGGCAGAGTCTTAGAAAAGACCTACATCCTTCGACGATCTTAGGGGAAAAATTCTAAAGCCAAACGCTCAAGGTGAGAATCCCAACTAGGACTTCATCCCTGGCCTGGGGAACAAGAAAGTGCCATTTGCCCGTACATTTATTTGCCCACTGGCACCTCCTTAAACTTCTTCCGTGATACAAGCAAACGCTCCTGGACAATTTGATTGTCAGTTATCTGACAAATGTATCATATCCAATCCGTTGCCAATTAACAACAAACAACATAGCACTGCTAACTCAATTATATTCTTTTTACAATCATTCTGTCAAGTTGGAAAACACACAGTACTTATCCTGACTTTATGCTCCCTAAACAGTTATCTATGCTAAGTCTCTGGAACAGATTGACTGAAGAAAAACCTACATCTTAAAGCACCCGGCTCTTTCGAGCTTCTCTCCAGGTGTCCGGTAGTCTAGAAGCGATGAATCATGGAATAAATGACGTGGGACTGGCACTCAGCTCCAGTGCTGAACACGCTTTGTTGGAGTGGATTCAAGTGAACAGTCATCTTTGCTCCGTGCGATCATCCAGTTTAATTAGGTCCAGCGCTACGCGACCCGTTTTCAGGGTCGGTATATGCCTGTACATTGGGGACATTTTGTATCGAGATTTATCCGGGCTCATTCGTTAAGAAACGAACACTGACACTATCACCCTTGAGTACGGCAGTGAAGCATCAGTGTTGAACACTGATGTCATGTTGTCGATGGTGATGATGACCACCCTCAAAGACGACGTGAATGCCAAAGTCGGTCACCTGAGTTTCTTGGAACCACATCTGGACGGTCGATTCGGAGTAAATGCTCGTCGCAGACAGCGAACAGCGACTCCGCCAGTTGTGGGCTGACCATCAGCTATCTCTAGCCGTTCGAATTTCCAACATAGACGCTCCCACCGCGTAAGCTGGCGACCAAGTGCGAATTAGCCGTGGGTTCAACTGGAGCACGTGGCTACCGGTTATTGGTGGAGAGCCGCAATATAGGAGTTCTATATCTTCTACGACACAACTTGAATCCGATCACGTCGCCGTGTGAGCAAGTCAGCAAGAATCATGCCGGTTCAACACCTTCGGAGAAATGCCATCGCTCTGCAGTATCGATATGAACAAGCTCAGCTACAGTCTGTAGTGAACCAACACTGCACTAATAGCGAGCAAGTGGGTAATACATGGAAAGATGTGAAGGAAACCATGCTAGCAGACTTTTCGTATACGGTTGAATGACCACTAGATATCGTCGAGGTAGCTATTCGTGATTGATGCTAAATCCGTACCAGCGAGCAACGAGTACGAATGCGCATGCACCTCCCTCAAACGCCTAACAGTGAAGGGTCCGATGAGAGACCGAAAGCACTGTTTGACAATGAAGACTCGGGAGATAGAAGCCCTTGCCACCGAGACTAATCGCGTCCTATACTAAATAGAACCGACTGGCCAAAAGACAGTAAACATCACCACCGTCGTCGTTCAGCTGTAACATCCTTTCGGTGCCTGGTTGCCATGCCACCCAAATGGCTGGGATAGTGTCAAGCCTAGACAGAGGAAGTCGAGAGGCAGAGGTCGGGATCGAACAACGGGCCTTCCGGGCAGTAGATTCGCGCTCTAACCACTTGAACCATCTCGCCCCCAGTTCACTTGTCTTTTTGCAACACAAACCTCGGGGCACTGATTGGGAGCGAATGGAGTGTAAACCTCGATTGCCCGTCCGAAGAGATGAAATATGAAGTGGCTCTGCTGAAACGTGAGAACGTACCAAGACCAGACACGGTAGCTTTAGACCGCCCTTCATGGAGATAAAGGAAGATTATTACAACTGTATTTACAGGGTAATCACAGAATGTCCCACAAGGTCGTTCAGCGGTCTCTGAGAGGGGGCGATAAGCGTCGAGCCAAAAATGCTCCATCCCGATTGGATGGCATTCTGACCAATCAGAGTATGCCTGCGTTAGGTCCGTCGCCCGCATGTGACACATCCGTCTGGTCGATGGGATGTTCGGAGACGAAGCACAATTGATCAATTCAACACCAGTTACCGAGTCGCTCCTCTGATTGTTTTCTAGGGTTGTGAACGGTGCGGACAAATCGCTCAGCAAGTGAGGGTCCGGCAGATCCTGAAGTTGAAAGGGTTCATTGGAATAGCCTAATGGAGTATCTTTCAACTGCGAACGTGAACTGTTGCTGGAAAAGGCTCATGATATCCTTTCGCGGTGCCTAACTTCTTGTCCGTAGCACGGAGCTAGCAGGTGTGACCGGGCGGTGAAAATGGAACCGAAAACTAAAGACTTGAATCTCGGAGAAGCGCCGGTTTCGAGCATAAATCGGCTCATCGAGTTATCCGGCCGGTGGCTATTCGCACAATGAGATTGATTTCTCGAAACCTACGGCATTTTCAGACTTGCCACTTCATAGTGTAGAATTTCCAGGTATAATGTATATGCTCCTGCATTAGTTAAAATCCTTTACTATTGCGATTTTGTTTCAGTAACTGAATCTCCAGGTGAATAAACACCGCCGACTTTGAATACGTTACCTGATGATAAAAAATCGCGAATTGTGGAAAAGTTTACACACATACAATGAACGTAACTTTCAGGTATTTTTCCACCGGAACAAACTTTCTCAACATTCTAGAATCTAACTGGCCTTTGGTAATGCAACATATGCGTAGGCGCATTCGTGCAAACAAATTTTGGTCGATGATTCGTTGTTGCCAGCAAAAACGCCGTAGTGCACGCTAATTATTTGCTAAACATCGTGCACGTTGACTGGCAAATTACAGAGGTTTCCATTATAGGTTCCGAATTATGCTAGAAAGACCTCGAGGTTCATCAATCTTATCCGACGCACACCACTAACATGCGGCTAGGGGTACACGATACCTAACTAACTAGCCACATAGAGCCTACGTCGATAATACCAGACAGCTGGACGATCTTAACCGACGCACACCACTAACATGCGGCTAGGGGTACACGATACCTAACTAACTAGCCACATAGAGCCTACGTCGATAATACCAGACAGCTGGACGATCTTAACCGACGCACACCACTAACATGCGGCTAGGGGTACACGATACCTAACTAACTAGCCACATAGAGCCTACGTCGATAATACCAGACAGCTGGACGATCTTAACCGACGCACACCACTAACATGCGGCTAGGGGTACACGATACCTAACTAACTAGCCACATAGAGCCTACGTCGATAATACCAGACAGCTGGACGATCTTAACCGACGCACACCACTAACATGCGGCTAGGGGTACACGATACCTAACTAACTAGCCACATAGAGCCTACGTCGATAATACCAGACAGCTGGACGATCTTAACCGACGCACACCACTAACATGCGGCTAGGGGTACACGATACCTAACTAACTAGCCACATAGAGCCTACGTCGATAATACCAGACAGCTGGACGATCTTAACCGACGCACACCACTAACATGCGGCTAGGGGTACACGATACCTAACTAACTAGCCACATAGAGCCTACGTCGATAATACCAGACAGCTGGACGATCTTAACCGACGCACACCACTAACATGCGGCTAGGGGTACACGATACCTAACTAACTAGCCACATAGAGCCTACGTCGATAATACCAGACAGCTGGACGATCTTAACCGACGCACACCACTAACATGCGGCTAGGGGTACACGATACCTAACTAACTAGCCACATAGAGCCTACGTCGATAATACCAGACAGCTGGACGATCTTAACCGACGCACACCACTAACATGCGGCTAGGGGTACACGTTGCCTAACTAATCCATCCATCGGTAACGGAGAAAAGGCTCAAAATGGACGTCTTGAGATTTTGGAATATATTGGTCGTTTTGAAGTTTACATATTTCCTTCTGTGAGGCGCATTTTCTTCTTCGTGAGGAGCGTTCATTTGGCCGTTGAAGTCCTGAAATGAGAGGAACATATAATTCAGGTTATCGAAATATCACCATAAAGCGGGCGGCCGACAAACAGGTAGAGATACTTACCCGAAAATTCACTGCAGCGGCTATGCTGTCGTAGATGCCTGTTCACATAATGCGATCCTCAGCGGTTATTTCGCATGCCTGTTTACTGCAACTCTCAAGAAATACGAGACTTACATGTAATGCATAGGATCTCATTACCAGACAAACTTTCCGGAGCCGATGGATCACATGAAATCATCTTCATCTCTTTCATCTAGCCGAATAGTTCTTACTGCTCGGAACGGGAATACAGAGAACAGGTGCACACAGGGGAGCCACATCGCCTGGTAGAAAGGGCACGTGCATTCTCCAGCACAGGTGTCGACAGTCTGGGAGCATCTAAGTGTTTGCACCACAAACTATGAGTTAGTTTACGGAGCTCGACCTCACCTTGTTTGTTTCGACACTTTCATACGGCTGCCGCGGCGGTCGCGGACCCAAGTGTCTCAAAACGAGAGAGCATGCATATGTCGTCATTCGACAGACTACGTTTAGAACGTAGGCGTCACCCTCCAGGATTTGCCGCCTGTCGCAGTGGTACGACGTATGCATCTCAAACTCCCGCATGAGCCACTCGGCGTGCCGGGACACCTTTTGAATGGCATGCTCCAACGTGTCGGAGTGGTGCACCTGATCTTTAAGGCGCCCGTTCGCATTCTCCAGTCGGTTGTTGGTCACATTACCGAAATGAACCATTCCGGACTGTGCGTGTATGGCCCATTTTCGGGTGATGTACAACCAGCGAGCCGTAAGATAGGAGAGAAAACGGGGGTCGGTTCGACGCAGAAGCTGTAGATCTTGTCGGAATCTGTGTGCTTGTAATATGATGAACATAAAACCTACTGTACAGCATTGTCCAGGCGAGCCATGCGGTGAAATATGTGCCGGCTGTTCGCAGAATGTGTCTGTGACCATAAATACATGGATATTAAATGATACATACGTGCTTCCTGATGGCTTTGCGGACATGAAAGTAGCAAAGCATAATGTCACAGCCGAACACGACTCTTGCCGCACGCATTTGCGCCGCCAACTTTTCCATTACAAAGGTCCTGACCGGATACGCTTCGCCCATCATTTCTTTGAATAAGCCTAACAGTTTACGCATGGGAGCAAACTGCTCGCTCTCTGCGAACGCATACATAACCGGACGCCCTGTTCCCATGCCGTCCGTTATCAAGAATGTGTACAGTTTATATCTAAATGCCGAATATTAGATGCTTTAAAAAACTTACCCAAGGGGGTTTGTTGCATGTGTCCCGTCTACATTCACTACATCTGGAAAGCGTCGGAATAACGCTATCTGCTGCCAGCGGGAGAGACACATGTGGCTATAGTGACCTTCCTCTCCCTGACACACAAGGACGCGTCCGGTCTCCCGGAGTTTTGCCAGGACCGAAGGCATATCATCTGCTAAATTAAAACCCAACCATTCGGCACCCACTCAACATAGCCGGCCGACAATTCCGACGGTAGTTGTGTACATCCTTAGTGGTAGGAATCCTTCCGAATTAATCCGCCACAAACTGCCGCACCTCAATGACGGCGTTCCATGTCTCAGCAGGACCTGGCATGTGCCCAACTAGTCTTCGGTCAGGTGTTGATTGACTGGAAGCCGATCGTACGGAAACTTTGACAGTTTGTAGTTGTGTTCCAGAAAATAAGAGGTCACTGCTAGTTGGTTCCTTTGCCTCCGTAGACAAAACCGCAGTGGATAGCTGGTGCTTCGCGTACTTCTTTTTATTGGAAAATACGCTCGGCTTACTAGCTTCTTCGGATTCCACGGCTTTCCCCTTGGTCTTGGAGGGCGCCTGCTGCATTTGTAGTGCATCCATTCGTAACGCAAACTAGTGTTGGTGCTTCGATTACTGGATGAACGCACAAATATCACGAAGTTATCCTTCATGTATCCATTTAAGGTCTTCTCAAATGCCGTGAAGGATGAAAACGATACGCCCACAAATTTCCCAACGAAAGGCACTTTCGAAGCCATAGCAGACGAAGATATGTGCCGAATGTGCGCCAATAATTTTCAAAAGAGATCGATTAAAACAAATCGCAAAAAAATGATGGCAGATGCGGGTGGTCTTCAGTCCACGCATATATGCAAAGAAGTGCAACATTTTGCTGTTAAAGTTTTTATTTCGCCTCCAGGGGTTTTACAGAAAAATGCATTGTGCGTCTAGCCGCTGGCAGTTATCCGGGACACTGGCTATTCGCACAATGAGATTGATTTCTCGAAATCTACGGCATTTTCAGACTTGCCACTTCATAGTTTAGAATGTCTATGTATAATATATATGCTCCCTTATTATTGAAAATCTTTTACCATTGCGATTTGTTTAAGTGAGCGAATTCTCAAGGTCAATAAACACCGCCGTCTGTGAATGCGTGTCGCGCGTCGTATCAAAATGCGCGCTCAGGCCTGTTTAACACAAAACCCAAAGTAGCATACTAATGACGGTAATCCATCGATTGCACATTTGTTTGATAGATTTGTGGCCCCCGAAAACGAACAAAACAGGGAGTCTTAGCTAGTTGGCGTCTTTGCTGTGTGTACTGAAGCCCAACGTTGTACATGAGGTTAGACTAGCCCGTAAACGAGCCCGGTTGTTTGCAGCGTGCCCATATGTTATGTCTTGTTAAAACCCAATCCACTGACCGCGTGCTTTGTCTGAGTCGCCCGACACATCTAAATAACTTTGGAAATCTTCAGCAGTGGCCAAACTTCTCGCCTTTTTGGCCAAATGCAAAAGACACTGTTGGCTTTTTAAGGGTGTGGCAGACAAAGGAAAAAATCACATTATAAAGTGTGAAGGAATCATTTGTATTAGTACTGAAGGCACTGAAGTTATGCGAATCACTCGTCGATGGACCGAGATGGTAATTTCGCCCTTGAGGTATGGTTACAATTGCATTGCCACCGCAGATGCAATGCAACTGACCCGATGTTTGATTTGTTACAGTCACGCATCCCCTGGCATCCGCTTCACTAGGGCATATTACGCTGACGGAACACAATCATCAATGAGTTGTTGAATCCCTGCAAATATTTACACCTGGCTTTTCTTAAGTTTTATCACAATAGTCTGTAGTTGACACCAATTCAAGCCGCGCGCGAGGGTAGTTATCCGTACTTCACAATTTACTACGATTCCTTTTGTGAGTTCAGCTTGACACTTTTCTCCCAAACGCAGGCGTCCAAAACATCGAACCAACATTTTCCCCACATTGGCCTGCTTATTTTTTCAAGTCCAGCCATGACGTCAGATTATGCTAACTGAAGTGTCCCCGGACCACTCCTGCAGACAAACTACCTCAAAAATCACTGACGTAGTGGTCTGACTACCCAATAAGTAGAAGAGGGGTCGGTTGAGACGTGCTCTGTTCACGCTGATCGTCTGGTTTCGGACGGGTGACTAATGTGACGGGTAACTCGGGCTGTGCGTCAATAGGGGAAACCAGTTCACCGGGTAAACGTAAAGTTATACCGTATAGTAGTTCTGCTAGTGAACAGTGAAGTTTCTCCTTAATAGTGGAGTGAATAGCAAGCAAAATGAGCCGTAAAGAAGCGGACCATGAAGACAGGTTCATTTGGGCAGTCAAAGCAGCTTTGAGGCAGCGATGGAAACGGTCAACCAGACCGTTGGAACGGAGATGATACGCGGTAGTCGGAAACCGAATGGTGTAGAAAACTCACGGAAGAGAGTACACTGAACTTGTGAACCGCGATCGGGAGTGACGGTGGAAGGTATGCTAAAGTTACTCACCCAACTCTGCCAAAACGAAAAGGCTACCGCTTCAGTTGAAGTATCCCAAATGGGTACAGCCACTGGCTAACGGTTTAAACGAGAAATCATGGCGAGAATACGAGTGAAACCGTTTGATAGGGAAAGTGGACCAACAGTGTCAATATGAATGTGTGTGAATCGAGCATCAGGAACGGTGAATGAACCGATAGGTAACTTCGTATGCCCAGCTACTTTATGCGTTGACAGGCGATGCACTGTCTGTCCCAGGATGTTAGATCCTCATTTATTTAGGGCCATACAAAACGTGCACTAATCAACTTCTTGTTGCTCGGACTCCTGGATGAGAAAGTCCATGGGAGTGGTCGAAAACAACACGTCGAAAAGCCTCGGGGATGATTGGGCTGGCTGAGCCGGTAGGCGTATCACAAAATGGTTCTTGATTGAAGGGGTAAGGGAATGGAACAGGCTTGAAAGGAAGGAGAGGATAGAATGTGCAAAAAATTAGAATAACTATGCTGAAGGTTTGCCAGCTTCGCTAGGCCCAACTGCGTGAAAGGGTGAAGAGCTTTGATGTCAGGACGGGATAATGCGCCTGCGGTAACAGCGCCTGAACCCGGAGAGTACCGAGTGTCGGTAGCGAACTGTGAAATGTAGTCAAGATGACGTATACCGAATGGTGAATATCGATCAGGCCTGGCGTTTAAAGCATACGTAAGTGGCTTACGGTCGGTTTGAATGGTAAATGTTCTGCCTTCTAACGAGTGCTGGAAATGGCGAATAGCAGGGTAGACTGCGAGTAATTCACGACCAAAAGTACTGTAACGCGTTTGGTTAGTCTGCATCTTCTGCGAGAAAAAGGCTAGTGGTTGAGATGCGTTGTGAACAGCTTGATGAAGCACGGCGCCTACGGCAGCGTTCGAAGCATCGGTTGTCAAAATCAGCTTTGTGCTTTCATGAGTATCGAGGAAAGCTAACTTTGTGGCGTGAGCAATGGCCTGCTTGTCTCTTTCGCAAGCAGCAATGGCGGCAGGGGCAAGTTGACGGATTTTTCTTTGGAGCCAAGTAAATCGGTAAGTGGCTGGCCAACATCCGCACAAGGATGGATGAAGCGCCGGTGGTAGTTGATGATACCGATGAAACGACGAAGTTGGGCGAGAGTGATGGGTATG